CCGTATTCACAAAGGATTTTAGGGCTAAAAGTAGCTCCTAACTGGCGAATTTAGGAGAAACTCCTAAGCATAATGGGCGTGTCAGTCTTAAATTTAGGACTCCTAATTTTATTCACTAAGAGCAATTCACAAAGTATTTTAGGCCTAAAAGTAGCACCTAAGTCTGGGAGAGCTTAAAAGTCCTCGAGAGGACTCCTAACTCAGTAAGACCTATTCACAAAGAATCTGAAAATGGCTGAGAGACGAAATGTTTTGGAGACAATGGAAGACTGTGAATTGATCAAGAGATATAGGCTAAATCGTGAGGGTATCAAAATTGTTGTGGAATTAGTGCGGGATGCAATAACATCCCCGACTAACAGGAATAACCCGATTAGTCCGGAAATAAAATGTTTGGCAACACTACGATATTTAGCAACAGGGAAAATGCAACTTTGCAATGCCGACGATTTAGGAATATCGCAACCATCAGTCAGCCGTGCCATAAACCAAACCATCAACGCGCTCTCTAGACCACATATCATCCAACAGTTTATCCGGTTTCCTTTGGACAATCAACAACTACACAGGATCAAAGCCAACTTCATGGCAATTGCAGGTATGCCCGGTGTGGTCGGTGCTATTGACGGGACGCACATAAAAATAATTGCGCCATCAAAAGATGAGGACGTGTTCGTCAATAGAAAGAAATTACATTCCATCAACACGCAGATTGTTTTCATTCATCATGATAGGGGGACTTTAACGGCGGTATGGGCTGTTATTGAAAGTGTTTAAGTGCTGGAAATATGCTCATTGGATAATAGTTTGCAGGGTGCTTTTAATTGCCTCCTCGATTTAATGCAATTTACGTATTTTTATTGTTTGCTCTCTCTCTTTAACGTGCATATACAACGTCATTATCGTGGTCTGCACAAACTTGTCATCATGCGTATATTCTGCTAACTGCACTGTCCATAACTATTTGATAGGAATACATTTCTAGCCTAGGCTATTTCCTTGTTTTTCGGTGATTTAGTGGGCTCGTTTGTGGGATGTTGCGGATGAGTTTCACCGAGACCGCCTGCTCTGAACAACCAATCACCGTACTGACCGCTTCTAAACTCATGCACGAGAATCGACGTCATCCATAGCAACGGCGCGTCACTCTTAGTTCACTCTTAGTGATTTATCCTTAGTATGAGTAGGTCTCAGCGGCTTTGTGAATAACTTTTAAGAAAAAACTCCTACGTAAAATGTTTTAGCGCGAGTTAGGAGCACTCCTAGCGGTAAGATAAAATGCTTTGTGAATACGGCCCCAGGTCTCTCCTGAGAAAGAGACCTGCTTGGCGTCTCAATAAGATAACCTCTATAGATTAGTTTTACATTGAAGAATAATGAAACACAGGCAAATAGCAAAATGCTTTAATTGTTACCCGTCTTTTGTGCCAATACTGTGCACATATATATTCCTTTGATCTCCTTCTGAATTTCTTTCAAAACCCTCAGGTTAATTTGAGCACCTTGAAGCTTTTATTTTTATAATCCACACTTCTATATACGCCGGGATCCGGAGTCATGGATGATCCTGCGGTCCTGTGTCATGGATTGCGAGTCCTGGATCTTGAGCCGTGAAGATAATACATTTGCAACATAGGTAGTCCAAATGTTTGGAAATGCATGTGTGTATAATAGGAAGATGAATCCACGAGTATATCCATCCAGGACTTATGATCCAGGACCACAGCCACGGCTCAAGATCCAGGACTCGCAATCCATGACACAGGACCGCAGGATCATCCATGACTCCGGATCCCGGCGTATATAGAAGTGTGGATTATAAAAATANGCCAGTTCTGGTGTGGTGCTAAAGGATTTATTACCTGTACAGTATACATTTGGTGGCCTGGGATTATTTTTACCACATATTTTCTTTTGCATCGAAAAACGTGAATGGGTGCAGATCCATATCATACATAGCTGTTCCCCATATTGGAGGATACAAGCAACACTAAGTCATGCCCTTTCTTTACATGTTTAGAGGAGTTTCTTTATAAACTGAGCTACCACAAACATCTTTAAGCATTCGTCGCCAATGTGAGAATAATGAGTATGCAGCAAGGACATTCACTGCAAGTCATGCAAATAAGGATCATATCTTTTCATTCAGTACTTTTTATGTTTGTTGGCCAAACGACTGACAATATTTTGAAAGATCAGAAGAAAAAAACCTTTGTCACTCAAACTGAGTATCTGAATGAGTTGATTTGGCTGTGTGAAATCAGCCGGAGCGTCTGGTGGAACTTTCATTGCAGAGCAGAGCAAGTGGGCTTTTCCAGCAGTGGCATTGTAACACATATGAGTGTTTTCATTAGACACACATTGCTTCAGCCGTACGACTACTGGCTATTTTCAGCTGGAGGCTGTCAGTGAAGCCTTTGCAAGGAGCAGGCATCAAGCCTGGAGGTTGAGAGGCGGTGTTGGTGTTCTCATACCTTTAAAGAACAGGACTTAATGTGAACATGCTGGGGGGAATCATAGACTGGCCCTTCTCAAGTGTCAGCCTCTATTAGCGCTGAAGATCAAAGTCTGGCACAGCACACACTTTTATAAAACTGTGCAAGTGGTGGGGCGGATCAAATATGCTTATTACCCAAGTAACTGTGCCTTTTTGGAGATGTCATGCATGATGCCGTCCCCACTTTGAACCTGGTGTTGGCTCTATATGTGCTACCACCACAAACATTGTTTTCATTTCAACCTCACCTTTGATTTCTCTAGCTGACTTTTACGCTTGACTCTTGACATCAGGAACCCCGAGTTTGACACAGGTGACACTGTGTCCAATTACACAGGGTCCATGTGTGTAGGGTATGTGTGTATGTCTGTGTTTGTAAGGCCCAATCATCTTTTTGGGGGGGGGATCTGTAGAATCCCACTGTCCAAAAAAAGCCTCAAACCAAGTAGGGTCAGTGACTCACGCCTCAAATAGCATCTGACTCAAATTAAGAGGTTCTGGATGGTTCGGAGGGGCACAGGCTTGTATACAGTAACTGACAACTTTTCTACGTACCCATAGCTTGACGAGATCCAGGAACACAGGAGAATAATGGTTCCAATTTGTTCTAGCTAATCTATCACCTGTTGCTTCTCTCTCCAAGTGGTAGCAGTTACATCTCTGGACTCGCTCACTGACCCTCTCAAAGACTGGAAGTGGTGGAGGAAAGATGAGAGAGATTTCGTGTTGGTGTGTGTGTTGTATGTTCGCTGGCCAACCACTGCACCCTGCTTATGTTGATAGAAACGAACCCATCCCCAGACCTGTTTTCATATGTGTTTGCTGATCAAGCCTTGAACCCTCCTGTTGTATCAGTATTACTAGTGCTTATATATGTATGTATGTATGTATGTATGTATGTATGTATGTATGTATGTGTGTGTGTGTGTGTGTGTGTGTGTGTGTGTGTGTGTGTGGGGGTGTATGTGGGTGTGTGTGGTCAATTATATTTCCAGCACAGCCTGACCTGGGGCAACCTCACACTGAGCCTGGATCCTGTCTGAGATATTGGGGAGGGTGTTGTTTACATGTAGAGGATGAATGTGAGTGATTATGATTGAAGCTATACTTCTGAGATAGATGAGCTTAGCTCTTTCCTAGTTCAAGGAAACACCTGACTGTAATGTAATGTCGACATCTGCGCTTCAACTAAACACAAGAATCAGATGTAACCTCAGTGTAATGTAACAAAGACATGACAGGCACTAACCCTATTCAGTAAAACATCCTGTTAATACATCACATAAGACCATAATTCAATGTTATATAGATAAATATACAAAGTGAATGTAGATCTATTTCAATATTTATTTAACCTTTGGCATCTTCCACTGTTGTTCCTTTTTGCTTTTTTGCAAAGGGAGATCCGATGTCAGTATATCCTATCTATGTTAAAGGACATTTTACTCACTCTTCCTTCAGTACACAGTGAATTCCCATCGGAGAGGAACCACATTTAACCTCTTAACTGAAAACATGAGTGCATTTTGAAGTAATTCAGCATAGGAAGGTCATGGCGCTGTAATCTGACTGCTGGCGCCATGTGGAGCGAGCAGAGGGGCGGATGGACACTGGTGCTGCGCGGCTGTGTTGTGGGATTGCTGTGGTGCACAGAGAGCTGCATTGTGGGATGTGATTCCAGGTCGACAGAGAAGCTTAGGGCTTTCCGCGGCCAGCAGGAAGGGATGGTGGGCGAGGGGGCGATACGCTTCCCCGAACCATCATCAATAACATCTACAGTTCAGTCTGGAGCTCCTAATTGTACACATGCACACTGTGAGTTCATGATTGTATGCATGTGGACGAAAGATATGTCAAAGTATATCTGTAGTTATATGTGTGTGTATCTGCAGCATCTGGCCTACTGGGTTCAGGGAGCTGAACTTTGAAGGATGTCTTGCGCCGACACACACTATTCATGAAACAATCATAGGGATAACAAGGCTGCACACACTCACACATGTAAAAGCCCACTCACACTTTTATTCACCGCTCTTCTATTTGTGTAAGATGTCAGCCTCACCCTTAAGTCAACAACCTTAGCTTAAAGCTGCTCATATGGATATGACATCAGTCTAAAAATAGACAACCAAACCCTGAGAAATGCAAATGTCAGCCTGACATTACGCACACTCAAAAATTCCCAGGAGCTTGTTCAAAGTGAGTATAATCAATATCAGTGGCCTGCCACAATGGTCTTTAGACTGCTCATCATCTACACACATAGCAGAAAAGTAGATCTTTGTGTTTGACTCTGGGATGTTTTATGATCAGTGTGTATGTGCATGTGTGTGTCTTCTTGCTGCTTCACAGCGGTGGATGTTACCCCTGAAATGGGATTAAATATAAAACGGATGCCTTAAAATGTGGCATTCGTTGAACAATGTGTGTGTGTGCGTGTGTGTGCGTGTGCGTGTGCGTGTGCGTGTGCGTGTGTGTGTGTGTGTGTGTGTCTGATCCCCACCCGGTCCATTGAGGAAATCTTTGACCTGGAGGCAGAGCAGAGGGGGGGGGATGCCTGTTTTGCTGACTACCTCTCCTGCTACTGTCTGCATCCAAAACACATTGTAGTCCAGAGACTCTGGCAGAGTCTTTCCTGGGTCTGGAAAAGAAAAGATAAAGAAAGAGGAAAAAAATAGGAGAAATGGAAGAAAACAGAACAGACAAAGAAATGGTGTCAGCATATTTCACATCAAAAACTTTTAGAGCCTGACATGTTATGGATATAATGGATTGGTAGCAAAGTTACATTCCCTGTCATTTACATAGGGTCTATATACGTTAATCAGAGGATTTGAATCCCAACCTTTAGTCATAAGAAGTCCCGTAAGAACCTTTTCCCACAGAAACGTTGCCACTCTCCTCTGCTCATCTGGTCTCTCTTACCCAAACACTTGTAGTCAGAGGGGACTCCTCGTAAGGCCACGTCGAACACAGAGAGCTCCATCCTCTGCTTGCGGTGGTGGCAGCTGAGCAGAGCAGAAGGCTGCATCACCTGGATGTACAGGAGAGGCTCCAGAACCTGGTCCCCCGCCCCTCTCCTCCCCGGCTGCCTCACTATGGTAACACCCAGGGCTTGGCGTGCGGAGGAGCGGCTGGGCGTCGGCAGGCCCCCCAGGGAAAGCAGGCTGCCTCTCAGTAGGGGGGAGGCCGTCTGAGAGTTGTTGCTGTTGAGGATGTCCTCAGCGGTGAGGCCAGCAAGAGAAACCTGGGCCACTGCAGCGGGGTCTGGTGTGGGGGGGGTCGAGGCTGGAGGAGACTCAGGCAGGATCTCAGGCTGGTTCAGAGCACTTTTTCCCACCTGAAGAAGATGTAGGAAGAATATTTATTGAAATTGATTCAATAAGCTGATAACTCACCAGCATCATGCAGTTTACACAGATCATGTTCATGCTATGCATACTGTATATATCTACTGCTTGGAGGAACTGCCGGAAATCAACATCTTTTTTAAAATAGTTTTATTTATTAGCCACTATCGTATAACATCAGCGATGTCAAATATATATTTTTCAGTCAAAGTATTTTTTGAGTACTAAATGCCTAGGTCAACTATGTTTTTTATTTTGTTTTATTTTATTGGGACAGTATAAAGTTGGTGCCAAGAAGTCTTTCCCTTACACATGAGCCTAGATCACATTAACGTGGACATTGTTTGAGGAGCCGCTTAAAATATACATTACACATGTACATTCAGCTAGATGGGTTGAGACAGATTGAGTGGAATATCACAATTATTCATAGTACAGTACACATCTACAATTTTACAATATAAACTATCAACAAAACTGTTATTAAAAATGTTACAGTTTATTTGAAAGCTGTGTATAATTAAACCTTTGTACTTATAACCCACTACAATACTCACATAATTAACACATATTGCTATTGTGTATAGTTTGAACAACTACACACACATGGACAACTGACAAATCCAGGAAATGACTCAAGAGTGAGTTCCCATGTAAAATGTGTTGTGTTTACCTTATCCCTGGGCTCTTTCTTCTCGTGGGTGCCGGGAGTGTCAGACGATGAGGGGAGGGCCTTCGGGGGGCTGGAGCATGCGTAGGTCATGACGGAGAGTCTACTCGCTGTGAGGAAGATATCGAAGGGGATGAAGCTGAGGTTCTTGGTGATGGTGGAGGTGTGTGAGGGCCGGGCGATGCGGTGGTGGCTGGCCCCACTCTGCTGCTCGATCTGAACGATGCGGATGCAAGCGCTGTCACTGCCGAAGCCGCTGTCCCTCCCTGTCCCGCTGAGACAGGAGGACGAGTCCACACCTGCTGCTGGGTCCCGGCCGCCATGCTTCTGCTCCAAACCACACACCTGCACACACACAGAGACAGTTAGGCTGTGTTCACTATCAGTGTGTGTGTATGTGTGTGAGATTGTGTGTGTGTGTGTTTGTGTGGCGAGCGTGCAAAGGGAAGCTGCTACCTGTGTACCTCATGGATGTATTAAAATAACTGGATACAGTGAGCAGTGTGCATTATCTCCAACCAAACCAAGATACTGTGTGAGAAGCACAGAGGAGGATCAGAGCATTAAATACAAATCGATGAGAGCATTTTTTATTTTCTTCTTTGTTTCTCGTTTGACTCTACAAGAGGACACTAACCAAATAAATTGCTTGATTGAAACCATATACAAATTGACTGAAGAAGGAGAGCATCAACAAGCAACAGAGACATAAAATGCATGCTTTGTGGTCTTAAAATCATTTTGCAATTCTTGCAATATTGGAAATGTCTTTAAAAGGGCCTCATCCCGGGAAATCCAGTTGTTTTGTGCAGAGCCTGTGGTATTGTTTTTAAAGCAGCCGAGATTCTTTGCTTGGCTCCAACTAAGGGATGTCGGGAGGGGTCCAGCCATTGTGGCAATAAAAGCTTCAGTGACAGATGATATAAATCAATGTACAGTAGGTTTCAAGCGACAATGCAGGCATCTTTATTCTTCTACCATAGCATGCCATCTTCATGAATATAAACTACTGCACCGACTCCCAGGGGACAGAGATGAGACAACAAATAAAACTAAACGCTACCTACAAAACTATAAATGACTGGACATGTTTAAATGGAACTGACACGTGTGGGTACAAATTGAATAAAAACAAGTGTTTACTTTTAAAATGGGCATGGAATATATTTTAAAATGCTGAGAACAAACTCTTAGAACCTGCCCCACAAAAGCACTTTTTTCATAAACAATAAAATTGTAAAAAATATATAATAGTAAAAATATAACTGAAGTCATAGAAAGCACATGCAAACATGTGAGGCTGCTTCAGTTTGACTAACCACTGCGACATATCAATGAAACACTCGTCCTATAGCTGCAGGTTAGGGTTAGCTGTCAGGTGCGTCATGAAAATAACTATTACCAATTCATCATCATCAGCTCCAATAATGTCCAATCCTGTTACCCCATGATTGAAGCCTTTCCCCCATGTTTCTCATTCATGTTAAAGGGTACAATGCCGTTTCAATTAGCTACTGCTATCTATTGACACTAGAGTGGTCAATTGAAAATAGATGAAATAAAGAGAGAGAGTTTTCAAAAGATGTCTCATCCTATCCCACCCTCGTCTGCTTGAACCTGCACATGGTAACTATTACCACATGTATTCTCAGCAGACCCCCCCCCCCCCCCCTTTTCTCTCAACATCACTCCCTTCAACCCACTCCATGATAATTCCGAATGTATATTATTGCTGTGGCGTAGATAGGGTTTCAAGACCTCCAGGCAAATACTAAACCCACTGGCAGCACATTAGACAGAATACTTGACTTATTAGATATTTCCTATTCTAAACAGTGTCATCAAAGGCTAAGAACAACAGCCATATAAAACGCAGCAGCAGCAGGCCGGCTTGTTCTGTTCTGTTCGTCCAGGCTTCTATAGGCTCAGCCCTGCCAGAGCCCTCTCCTTTCCCTGGTGTAATGAGGACAGGATGTGTGCACTTCTTTTCTGTAGAAATGAAATATTTTCCAAGCGATGGGGAGGGAGTGAAGGCAGAAAAAGGCCTGGGCTTGTCTCCATGTGTGTTGTGTAAGTATCTGAAACTTGTATTGAGGTAAGGAGTTATTTGAAAAGGTATTTAGCAAAGGCAAAATGTCCACTCCTAGGAGCACCCCACATTGAAAGGGACAAATAAGCTGCACAGCAGCTGGGAAACAGTGAGCGCCAGGAGAAACTGCCAGATTCTCTTTACACTTCTCTGCCTCTCTTTCCCAAGCTCAGGCTCCACACATGCATTTACAATTAGAGCAAATACCCCGTCTTCTCTTTAACCACCACTACTAAGAGAGTGCCCCCTAAGCAATTCTTGGACTATATTTAGATATGCTTACAAGCGGAATAATGGATAATGGGGAAGACGATTGGGGGCTTGGAGAAAAAGAGACAATGAGAAGACAAAACACAGCACACAGTTGTTCGTATAGCTTGAAACAATGCATGCAATCAGTGTATTCCTAAACATATACACATAAACACACATGCAGTCAGTTGCTTTTCCAGGTTTTGATCTCAGCTTTGCATTTAAAGAACATTACTGGATTCCTTCCTGTGAAACTGGGTTCAGTTATATTATTCCCATTGCTAACTCACTGGGAAAAAACAGGTATACAGAAAACCTAAACCTGTGGCTCTGTAGTCTATAAGCTTTAACCTTTCGGCAATTTATCCATTGACAGAGGGCAATACATTCAGGATTCAGACATGCAGTATAGCCGTGGGCCTAGTCCCAGCTGAAATCCCCTTTTCCAACCATTACTTTCTATTATATTACAATATTATATGATTGCTGCACTGAAGCACTGTTTCCAGATCCCAATGCAATCTTACTTAGATCTTGATCATGCGACTACACAGACATACCCCCCACCCCCATCAGCCCATCATGAGGTCATTTCCTCAGAGTCTCTAGGCAGAACATTCTGGAAAATGGAGGGTAATCCCCGAAGTGTTAAACCATGAGTCTCCCAAGTGCCAATCATATCATGCAGAGTGCATCTGTACAACTTCTGACCCCAATTTATGTCAGTGTAACTCAAAACAGCTTGGCTTGAGGAAGTCTAATGTGCGGAAGCAAATGTCACATCATCCAAATGCCACCTGTTTACAGTGCTGGCTAGTCCAATACGACAACATCACTTTTACATCTGAATGTGACCTTAAATGTTTCCAGATGAATGAAAATGTGGTATGTGGCCTTCAGGTTCAGAGATCAGGAAAATAGAACTGTGGATGTTTAAAGATGTTAGAGAAGTTCATGATAGTTGACAGGAAAGAATATAATAAATAAAGTCAAAGTAACAAAGAGGACTCTTGTCCATTTCAAAAGTACTACATTTTACAGCGTCAAATCCAAACTGAATCAATCAATCAATCAATCAATGTTTATTTATATAGCCCAATATCACAAATGTTACATTTGTCTCAGTGGACTTCACAGTTTGTACAGAATATCAGTATGACAATACGACACCCTCTGTCCTTAGACCCTCACATCGTACAAGGAAAAACTTCCAGAGAAAACCCACAGTTTAAAGGGAAAAATGGGAGAAACCTCAGGGAGAGCA